ATTACTTCTGGTTTGTAGACTATGGTTCCCTGAATGAAACCAAAATGAAGCCATGTGGAGGTCTGTTATTTTCTAGTCAAGCTCCAGGTCCTCAGTTACGGCTGAACTGAAAGGAATAATTCTAGACCCAGATACGATGCTTACCGCCTTTTCACCACTTTGGGCCTCGGTTTCTCTGCCTGTAAAGTGGGGATTCATTTGTTCACTTTTTCACCCATGCAACAAATAACTTACTGGGTTTCTGCTACATGCCAGGCCCTCGACTAAGGCCCCGTGAACAAAGGAGACAAATGTCCCTTCTTCGGGGACTCACAGTCCACTGGTGAAGACGGACAACAAACTAACAAAGAAGTATTAGGGTATGTGTGGTAGCAGTAGGTGCTCTGGTGACAACAAAGCAGAGTAAGAGGGAGGGAGGACACAGGTGGGCCAGGTAAGGCTTTCTGATAGGTGCAGAGACATGCAGAGATAAAGGTGAGCCCCGGCACGTCTGGGTGGGAGGGAGGGAACACCCAGGGCAGAAGAAGTGGCAGGGACAGGGCCCTGGGGGGGGTGTACTTGGCGCCTTTGGGGAGGAGCAAGGAGGCTCCAGCGAGCCTGGAGCAGCGATCACGGCGACACAGGAGGGCCTCGTAGTCACGAGAACAAGCACTGGCTTTTACCCAGAAGGAAGTGGGCAGTCCCTGGAGGTTTCCAGCATTCGAGCAGCAGGATCTGACTCATGCCTTTCTTTTCTTTTCTTTTTTTTTTTGTAAATTCCCTTGGCTTCAGGGTAGGAGACAGACTGCAGGGAGGCCAGGGCAGGAGCAAGCGGGGACGGCTTACAAGGTGGGAACTACATGTGATGGGGAGCAGTAGTGGAGGCCTGGAGGCCAGTGGTGAGGCCGAGATGGGAGGCCATCAGTAGTCTAGATTTACCTTGAAGGTGGAGTGGAAAGAGTTTGACGATGGAAGTTGAGGTGTGGGGCCACAATGAAAGAGAAATGTCAAAGACACGTCAAGGTTCTTGGTCCGGGCATCTTGACAAAGGGAGGAGTCCTTTATTAAGAATGGGGCCAGGCATGGTGGCTCACGCCTGTCATCCTAGCACTCTGGGAGGCCGAAGTGGGCGGATTGCTCGAGGTCAGGAGTTCGAAACCAGCCTGAGCAAGAGCGAGACCCCGTCTCTACTATAAATAGAAAGAAATTAATTGGCCAACTAATATATAGAGAAAAAATGAGCCGGGCATGGTGGCGCATGCCTGTAGTCCCAGCTACTCGGGAGGCTGAGGCAGGAGGATCTCTTGAGTGCGGGAGTTTGGGGTTGCTGTGAATGGAAGAATGACAATATCTGACGCTTGGGAGGTGGCATCAGGGATACAAGGAGAACATGGATGTGAATGCACTTCCTCAACTTGGAAACACCATATGGATGTCAAAGACGAAAATTAGCCACCTACTTAGTTGCTAATGCTCAAATAAATATGTCCGGATATTACTGTTTTCAGGTCAAAAAGCAGTGCTGACTTTTCTCCCTGACAATTTTCTATTCCCTAAAGAAAGTTACTCTGAATGGCCCAGTGGCTCATTCAAAGAACCACGGTGCCCACAAACCGGAGTAATTCCCAGTGATTCTGATGTTCCTTTTCTGTTTCAAAAAGCATTAAAACAATGTATAACTTCAACTGTGCTTCTTCAAAATCCCTTTCTCTCTCCCATTCTCGAAGCTTTGACATCGCTCTGATATTTCTATCCTCCTTCCCCACACAAGGGGGCTCAACACAGCTATTTTCAATCTAAGGGAAGAAAAATGGAGTTCATAAATATTTTTATTTTCTCAGAATAGTCTCTCATACAACTAAGGTGGCTCATCCCTGATTTAGGCCACAGTAGGTCACATTGGGTCTGCCAGTGTAATTAGAGCATCCACTGTTCACTTTCAGAGCTATTTGAAGCTTTTCTAGCATATTCCCTGGCAGGGGTAAGTTTTAAATGGCAGTCTAGTGACACGAAATAGCTATGGAACCTGTCAAAAGTGAGCTACATACGTCTTTTGTCACCTATACCATGTTGCCCTAAAAATAAGACCTACCCATAAAATCAGCCCTAGCAGGATGTCTAAGCATTTGCACAATAGAAGCCCTACCCCGAAAATAAGCCCTAGTGATGGGCGTGGCTATGAAAATAAGCCCTAGTGATGGGCGTGGCTGCACAGCACATCTGACAACCCATGCATGTAGTCATGGAGTAGTAAAGAAGACGAGCAGCCCTTCTCATCTGCCATGAGAGCTCTAGTGCTCCACATGAGAGATTGGGGCCAATGGCTCTAAAGGAAATAGAGTCACAAGAAATTCAGGATGGAATTCAGGGTTTGGAGAGTAATGATGATGTTTCAGAAGATGATGACTTAACTGTATTTGAATCAACGTAGACTGTGTACTGTCCTCAAAAAAAAAACACACCCCTGAAAATAAAGCCCTAGGGTGTCTTCTGGAGGAAAAACAAATATAAGACCCTGTCTTATTTTCGGGAAAACACGGTAGGGTTGAGGTAGCCTGAAACACGTAAATAATTTTCCAAATGTATCATTGGAAGAACTCCACAATCCGAATCGGTCAGCTCAGTTTCCAACAGCATGAATGAAGGGAGTGTGGGAAGCAGGCATTTGTCCAGTGAGGACAAAAACAATACCTATGGCAAGTGGTTGCTGTGGGGAATAAATGGGAGAGTGTTTGTAAAACTCCTAGAATAGTCCTGCAATGTGGGTTGAGGTACTGATCCTTTTAAGGAAGTTACAAAAAAAAAGAAAAGCAGTTTAGAGGACAGATGTATTCATTCCTATTCTTGTCTTCTTTCTGTTTTCCCTCTCCTCCTCCTTTCCCTCTCTTCCTACCTCCATCCTGCTCCCCCCCACCATGTGCTGATTCCTTGAGCAAATATTTACTGAGTTGATGCAAGATCTTTTCCTATGTATTATAGGAGCCTGACAGAATTCTCAGCCCCTTTGTCTTAAAACCAGGATGTCCACCATTGAGGGGAAGACACAGTAGAGAGAAATTCCATTATTATTTTCGAAATATTTGCCAAGAGCGTGATAAGGAGGAGGAAAAGTTGATCCCAAACATTTCATAAGATGCTAATTTAATCGAGGAAGAGCTGTTTTTACTTCATCACGGACAGCCGGCAAAAGACTGAGTGTCTCCTTAAGGCCTAGCTCACTTCTCCAAGGCCTTTCCACGTCGCCGGATGCGACATAAAGCTTTGCCATAATGCTATCCCAAGTTTGGAATAATTCGGCCCCCAGATGATGCAATGCAAATTCTCCAAATCCAAGCCAGAGCTTGGATGCTTCCACCTTGACAGCAAAAATGCAAACTCAATAACCGGTCTCCAGCTCATGGGTGGCCTTTGATTTCTCTGCAGCTTTTCATACCTGAAGCTCTCTGGTGCCCTGACTGGTAGGTACCTCTCTTCCCCTGGAACCTTGGGCTTCCTTTGCTTTCCAGAACGCTGAGGCACCGTTGCTAGGATACCGCTTTTCACTCTCTGACTGAGTGCTGCTGTGGCCTGCACCCCACTGGGACAGCCACCTCCCGACCTGGTCACATGCTTCTGTTTACACCTGTCTCAAGGAGTAGCCTTGACATCAGGTTCATGGATTTCCCAAACCTCTAGCTCATACAACCAATTCCCTTTTTTTTTTCTTTTAATTTTTAAAATTTTCTTTATTCTTTTTCTTTCTTTCTTTCTTTTTTTTTTCAGTGCTGGTATAAACATTTGACAATTCCCACTTTTAATGGCAGTTTTAGCACTTAAAAGCCCTACTATAAACACACATAGATCCAAGAGAGAATTTTTTTTTTTGGAGACAGAGTCTCACTTCTATTGCCCAAGCTAAAGTGCCGTGGCATCAGCCTCGCTCACAGCAACCTCAAACTCCTGGGCTCAAGCGATCCTCCTGCCTCAGCCTCCCGAGTAGCTGGGACTACAGGCATGCACCACCATGCCCAGCTAATTTTTTCTAGATATATTAGTTGGCCAATTAAGTTCTTTCTATTTATAGTAGAGACGGGGTCTCGCTCTTGCTCAGGCTGGTTTCAAACTCCTGACCTTGAGTGATCCTCCCGCCTCGGCCTCCCAGAGTGCTAGGATTACAGGTGTGAGCCATTGTGCCCGGCCCCCAGGAGAGAATTAATGAGGCGTTTCTAGTGACCAGAGGGGCTAAGAGAATGATAGCTAGTTGGCAAAGTTTACCTGCAGAATAATTGAAGGATGATCCCTTCCCTTTAGCTCGTTAAACATTCCATTATTTGGAGTTATATGGCTCGAGTCTTCTCTTAGTCATCAAATTTTCTGAGATAAAAGGGCCCAAGCGATTTAGTTTAACAGGCCAGGGCTAGCATACACTCAATTTCTAACAAATATTTTACGTACACATCATGGCTTGATCTGTAAAATCACACTGTATTTTTTAACCTAGTCTTTTTGCTCTACTTGAAACTACTTAATTGGTCATTTTTCTCAAGCCTTCAAAAAACAAAAGATGATCACAAGTTTTCTATGTATTTGCCCATTCATTTAAATGCTGCACTGAAATTGATCCGATGTGAATTGATTATTTGAAGGTGGCCGATGGCCACTGCTCACGCCTGTTGGATGTGCTTGTTGATTAAGGTACAAGTGAGTGACCCGTAGAGTCTGAATGACAAGGTACGCTGAGCCCATAAACCTCCCAAGACCAGAGTCTCCTAGCATGCTTCTAGTAGATTCTGAATTGTACTGGAAATCCTACCATGGAAAGAGAAGGAAATAATTCTACCTTGACAGCAAAAATGCAAATACAGTAATCCTAAGAATTGAGGAAGATTGTAGTAAATATCCCAGTCACATATTTTAAATGACTTCTCGTGAATCCCTTATGTTTCTTTCCGCGTAGCTCTCTGAAGATGTGGTTTTCACGTTTGTTTTGAGAAACGAATGGACGTGTGTCCAAAATCGCACTCTGGCAAAGACGCACTTACCCAGAATGCTTCATGTTTTGGGGCTTATCCATGCGGACGGCAAGTTTGATTTTGAGATCTTGATCGGGGCAGTTTTTGGAGACTGTCATTTTGTGCCACTCTGACTGCTTGGGGCTGTTTGGGGTGGGATGGAGAATAACCTGTAGGGGAAGAAAGGACAAGCATCTTAGCCAGAAAATAGAAGCACCGTTATGTTTTTATAGAAGCACCGTTATGTTTTTATAGAAGCTTTGATGCCAAGGAGTGGAGTGATTTGAACGGGTCACCATTTACGCTATGTCGCTAGTGTGAGGAAAGCAGCCACGCCGAGGGACAGAAATACATTCTGTTCCTCCTTCTCTCCCTTTCTGGTTAATTGTGCAAAAGGAAAAAATCACGATTTCTATGATTCTGCTTTGACTTTTCTAAAGTTCAGAAGGACTAAAGAAACCCAGAAGACAGAATGCTATTCACACATTATTCTCTTCATCTTCACATAAGATGACGGATGTAGGAAAAGAAGACATACCGTAGCACCTAAGTGGACACATAGGTACTACAGTAATAGGGTGTTGGGCAGGTGGGAGGGGGGAGTGGGGCGGGTATATACATACATAAGGAGTGAGATGTGCACCATCTGGGGGATGGTCATGCTGGAAACTCAGATTTTGTGCGGGGGGGGGGGGAGGCGGCATTTATTAAACTAAATCGTGTTCCCCCCCATAGCAATGCCAAAAATAGAAAAAAGAGGAAAAGAAAAGAGAAGACTATACCCTTAACATATCAGACAGCCCTTGAGTCCACTCGTTTTTCCATCTTTAAGATTTATTCAGTATTTCATGGCCAGGCGCAGGGCTCGAAGCCCTGTCATTAGCACTCTGGGACGCCGGGAGGCGGGAGGATCACTCAAGAGGCCAAGGTCAGGAGTTCGGACCAGCCTGAGCAAGAGCGGGAGGATCCACTCTACTCAGAAAACTGAGAGAAAGAGAGATGAATTGGCCAACTAAAAAGTATATAGAAAAATTACCGGGCATTTGGCTGCATGCTGTAGTCCAGCTACTTGGAGCTTGAGGCAGGAGATTCGCTTGATGCCAGGATGAGGTTGCTGTGAGCTAGGCTGACCCACGGCATCTAGCCTGGGCAACATGTGAGGACTGTTAGTCCTCAAACAAAATTTTTTTCTTTCACTATTCAGCAGGAGGCATTCCTCAGATCACAAGGGAATAACGGAAGGGGACCTTATTAAGATGATAGAATGTGAGACTTAGAAAGGAAGGGATTTTCTTAGAGTTCACTCATTTCTTTTTTTTTTTAAAGTAAAGTTCAGACTTTTTTTATTAATAACCTAAAATTAAATAGAATTGACAATTCTTAAATTCTGTTAAATTTAGGAACAAAGTAGGAACAAACTTTTAACACCTAAAATACATTAGGAATGAAAATTGGATAACCATCACATCTTTTAAAACTCGAAGACCCACCAGAACTGAAAACTGTATAACAGTCCTCAAAAACTTTGTAAACAGTGCTCCGTCCACTGTCCCTCAGACCCCGGTGGAAGAGTCGCATGTGGGGATCGGGACCAGTCGGCTGCTAATGCAGGACAGGCAGCGGCGGCAAAAACACCCAGCCAAGCCAGAGTAATGTCCTTTGGCCGCCATTAGTTAGGACCCCTGCTGTATAACAATGATCACTACATTGCAACCCAGTGTCACCCAGAACTGGAAACCTATTGCATGACACCCAAATCCTCGCCCTCGGCGTTGGAAAAGGGCACACACCAGCTTGGAGAAGGATCAGTCTTAGAAGATGCCGTTCAATGGTCGCTTAGTAGACGGCACTCGATTTGGGTCGCCTTCGTTCCATCCTCCTCGATGCGGGCGTGAAGCGAAAAGTAGCAGAGCTCGGTAAATCCTTTTTCTATTTTGTGTGATGGAGTTCTCAGGACACGTTGAGACTGGGACAGGCACTCAGGGAGGAACTAAATATTTGCAAATCCCTAAACCAGGGAACGTGGAACTAATATATGGCACAACAACTGGCTTGCTAGGCATTCCCTTCTCGGTGGCACTTGCCTCCGGTTTGCTGCAACCAGTGCTTGGCGTGTTTCCAAAGCACCGGTTTTCTCCCAGGTACCAAGGGCCAGGCAGGCCTCCTCGCCTAGCTTCTTGCTCTCTGGAGGCACTGGGAGGGCTCAGAGTCCTGGGTGGATCCAAACTCCGCCTTTCTAAGGCTACCACAGCTTTACCAGGCAATGCGACCAGCCCGCGCTTGGAGGTGAACATGCCTGCATTTGGGCCACGTGTGGAAAAAGGTCCTGAGGAGGGTAGCAGCCGTGGCCGAAAACAGAAAAAAATCAGTTTGCGCCAGCGCGGTGGCTAACCCTGTATTCTAGCACTGGAGGCCTGAGGTGGGAGGATCACTCAAGGTCAGGAATTCGAGAACCAGCCGAGCAAGAGTGACACCCCGTCCTACCTAAATCAGATAATTAATTGACCACTAATATATATACAAAAAATTACCGGGCATGGTGGAGCATGCCTGTAGTCCCAGCTACGGAGCCTGAGGCAGGAGAATCGCTTGAGCCAGGGTAGTTGGATGTTGCTGTGAACGAGGCTGATGCCACGGCATCACTCTAGCCGGGCAACAGAGTGAGACTCTGTCTCCAAAAAAAATATATTTCATTGCTTTGATATCTCATTTGCACTGATTTTCAATCCCTTAGATTCTGGGCCGACCTTTGATGTTTTATTGTTATGACATATCTGTATTACTGTAATTACCTTATTCTACGTCTCCATCAAATAATCACAAGCAAAAGATGACTAGATAAAATATGCTATCTATTTTCAAAATGCCTGCTCAATGGTGTGGTCGTATGCTATTAGCAAGTATTATTTGAAGGTACCTACATTATTAGGCAATTGCATTAATAATTAAAGTGCAATATAATAACATGTTAATAATTGCTATCATTTAAGTTCGAGTAGTCTAAACAAATTCCATACAATCTCGGCGTTGACATCTGGTCATTATCTGCTGACGCTGCCATTATTGCTTCATGTCCTGATAGGTGACCGAGCCCTCTGCTAGAGCCACTGTCAACTCCACCTCTTCCCCGTTGGTTCGCCAGCCTCCGTATTATCTGTTCTCCAAATCAAATGCTCCTCCACCGTCATCTCTGAGGCCATTATTTGCTTTTGAGGGTACATTTCGTCAATACTACCGTAAGACGTTAAGTTCGCTTAACTGGCCCCAGGCAGCTGTCAAGATGTCACAGATGGCCGCTGGGCGGCGAGGGGGGGGGGGGGGGGGGAAGGCAGGGTGTTCACTGAGTCGGGATTCTCTCCTCCCTTCCTCCAAAGGAACGCCCTGCTCTTAGGATACCCGACTCTCACGCGACACCGAGTCCCAACCCGTTGGAGATGGAGAGAGGAGCTCCACACAGCCCCCATTCCGCCGTCCGCGGTGGCTCTCTGGGGGAGCTGCCTCTCCAGGTGGGTGGATGAAGAAGACACTGCAGCCGCCTTCCTCTGCTGTCCCTCATGACGCCACGCTGGAATGGCCAAGACGCATTGTGGGTGTTCGTGTCACTCCGTGGAACGACAAGCGTCCTCTGGGAGCTACGTACCCAAGCAGACAGGCAAGGCACCTTGCCTGGACGTCCGATGCTCTAATCACCCGCTTCGTCACCTCAGCCCCAGGCTCAGGTGCCATTGCTTGAGGTGGGGACGCTGACGTTGGCACCACGATGTCCCCTGCGGTTAGGGCACCCTCCAGCCGCACGCAGCTTCTCCGGGTTTCTGGCCACACACTACGGCCGCGGGGGGCTTCACCCGGCCGACGCCCATCCCTTCCGCAACTTAGCCTGCACCTCTTTTCTTCCTGACTTTTCCATTCCCAGGGGCAGACTGGGCTCTGCCTCCGCCTACCTGCTTCCTCTCCAGGTGTCCTTCAGAGAACTTCCCCCATTGGGGGGGGGTGGGGGGGGGGGGGGGGGGGGGGTTGGGGGGTCTGCCCTGTAATCTCCAGTTTTATGTCTGTGCCCACGAGCCTTTGTGAGGGTAAGACGTCCCTCCAGATTATCTTTTGCTCAGTCCACAGCACAGATGACCGGACACAGCGGGCCCACAACTCTACCCGTTGAATAAAAGTGTATTGCACGTGCAGGTTAGAACAGGCATTCTTTGCTTTCGTGGAAGTGCAACCGGGCATCCCTTAGAGGGTGTTGGCATTACTGTCAAATTTCAAATCTCTGTCAGCAAAATACTTTTGTTTGAAGAGTTATTTAGAATGAACAACCACAGATACAAAGAAATAATTCCTAGGCTATGCACCAAAAAGGCAGTTTAAGCCGAGATGAATAATCAAGAATCACCAATAAGAACTTGTTAATAAAATATACATGCTACACAATAGAATGCTATGTAGCTATATCACAGAGACAGGCCAGCATGGGCTGATATGGATTAATTTCCAAACACGCTGATATTTCAAGCAACATGTAGAGAAGTATATATATGGTAACTTCCTTCCGATTGTGTGTTTTTTTTGTTTTTGTTTTGCTGTTTTGAAGACAGAGTCTTACTTTGTTGCCCAGGCTAGATGGAGTGCCGTGTGTCAGCCTGCTTCACACAAACCTAAACCCTGCTCAAGTGACCTCCGCCTCAGCCTCCGAGTAGCTGGACACAGGCATGCGCCACCGCGCCTGGCTAAATATTTTCTATATATTTTAGTGCATAATTTCTTCTATTATAGTAAATGGGGTCTCCTACTCGTTGCTCAGGCTGGTTCTTGATACCCAGACCTCGAGCCAATCTGCCTGCCTCGCCTCCCAAAGATGCTGGGATTTACAGGAATGACCACTGTGCCCGCCTCATTGTGCTTTTCTTAAAAAGAAGGGATATATACTATATGTATATCTTATACAGCTATGCTTTGACACCGCATGACACATTTTGGGAAAGATACACCAAATAAATGAAACAGATTCTTTGGGAAGAGAACCCAGGGCAAGGTAAAAGGTCATTAGTTTCCACTATACCCATTTTATTAATTTTTTACAATTGTGCATGGATTTTGGGTTTCCCCAAATAAAAAGGGTAACAAAAAGCGAAACATAAGACAATTGGATAACAAAGAAAATGTGATTGAAAGTGTA